CTTTGATTGACATTTTGCAACGATCTTTTTGGGAACATCTATTCAAATATGTGGTTGATTTTATTTTGAGCTTTTGTGAAACAATACTTGCTACGCAAAATATTTTTTTTGGATCTGTTCTTAACACAAACATTTTAATTTATCTCCCAATAAAAAAAAGAAAAAATTTAAAAATCAATTTTGTATATGAATTATTTTATGCCTTTTAAAGTCATCTCATGTTCACATCATTCGAACTTTATCATCATTTCTCTGATAAAAAACGAATGCTTAAACAAACGTTGATACTAGATTAATCTTTCAAACATCTGAAATATTTCAATTTTCCTTTTCCAAAGAGTACTATTTTTTTCAGATTAAATATTATTACATTTTCAATCTCCAAAAGGTAATGTGTTGATTGGTAAAAGTATTGAAATATCTTCTAAAAGACCTAACCCATAAAATTCATTTAGACTAATAGGATTAGCAAAGCAAAGGGTTTAATGGAAAGTATTTAGAATTATATTTTTGAACCAAATATTAATTTTAAGTGAATGTGTATTTCAAATATTGCGATTTTAGTTTTTCTTTGTGTTGTTTTGAACATTCATTTCAAATACAATTTATGGGATTTTGGTTCAGGGTTTAGTAAAAAAGATAATAAAATATATTGAATGTCTACAAGTCTATTCCCAGTCATATACAAATAAAATTGTTTACTTTTTTTTTCGCAAATGCCCTAATTTAGGGGCTGCATGGATACTCAGGTTACGTAAAACAAATGCTGGTAAGTGCAACTCATTGCTGTATGAGCTCCTTCTACACAGCACTTGAATCGTGCACTTGAATTTGGACTGACAGAGAGGAAGCAAGAATTACAAATGCTGTACCAGATGCTGTACCTGTCCCTTGCACGGACGGATGATTGCATGATTGAAATTTTCGAAGCTCACTCATGGGATGCAATATTACCATCTGGAAATGTCCGATCCACCAAGAGATAGACATACCCACCAGCAGAGATAGAGATGCGCTTGTAACAGTTTACTGGTGAGAGTCTGTACTGTGGTCCTACATATACACCGTTACAGTCAACCTTCCCGTCCACAATATACAATCAGGTCTAAGACTGTCTCCAGGAGAAAAGTTGGACGGGCAGACTCCAGTAAGTCTATGACAAAGCAAATAGTTCAGAAAAGCTTTGAGTGAGACTTACTCTATTAAAATTACTTAAGTTGCGGCTTGGAGTGCCCGCTTAAAATTGAAATGTGCTTCAGGACAACAAATATGAACGGTGTCTTTATCTTTCATGGATGTGAAAGTCACTCAGGTTACAAGCAACAGGGTGCAGTTGACGTTGTATATGTATGCTTAACATTATAATCATAGCCAAACAACAAAAAACATACCATAAAACTGAAAAAACAATAAAAAGTTGAAATCACCACAAAATTTAATCATAAGTATCGATAATTGATTAATTATCGTTATCTTACCACGGCTCGATCTGGCAAGAAAGAGAGCAATCGACCTAGCTCTGATGCAGAATTATACCGTAACGTTAAGCTTTGACTTTTGTAGCCTAGCACCAAGGCTCGTAGTAAACGCTTTCGCTTATGCTAAGTTTGTAAAGTGCCGCGATATATTCCTCCAGATATGCTTAAAAGCATCCCATACTAGCAATTTAGTCAAGAGCTGATTCAACGTATTTTCTCGTTTGTAACCGGTTTTGTTCTGTCTGCTGAAAAAGTTTTAGATTTGTTCAACGAAACGCTTGACGCCTAAGCCGCGTATTATTTATTCCAACATGTTTTGTTGTACTCCGAATGGCCATCTCATCGAGTTCTGGATCCATGGCGGGGTTGGTTCTTGCTTGCTAGCTTGAGTGCACAGTACTCTTTTTATTTTTCACTTACCAGGAGCGTTTCAGCAATTTTAAGATGCAACATCTCGTTCGTAGTGATCTGCTCCGTAGCATGATAACACGTCATGAATTCTTAACAGAATCCGATTTGGCATTATCATATCGCAACAAACTGGTTGGTAAAGTCGTAGTTTGAGTACTGACAGACAAGCATGTTCGAAGCTCCTTCAGAGTGGTGTAATCTACCTTGGAGAATGGAGACTAGTAAATCGCCATTGCAGGTGATGCAGTTACTGGTTTTCTACTTTGGAGCATTATTGTATAGTGAAATTTCAAATCACATGTCATATGTATCAAATTTAGAGGTGGGAAATTGCAAGCTGAGAAAACACGTCAATATCGACTGGCTGCCAGCGGTGTAATGCTGTGATTTTCTTATCACCAGATCGCGTAGCCTCCGATCTTACCGAGGGAGCACGTGTTTGACCTTTTGAGTTAGATTGTGACGGTAGGTGCCATTATTTCTTTTCGAGCTATCGCTTTTTTCAGGGCCGGCCGGACCTGAAAAAACGCCAGCAGGTGTTTCTCCAGTTCTAAAAAACGATTGCTGTTATCAAGCTTGTTAAGTTTGCCCTTGTCACCAGCTAGAGTGTGGCTCATTTTCAGTTTGCTTTCGTACAGAGTTGCCTCAGATCGTGTGTTTTAAACTCGAAAGTGTCTGCTTTATGGTATGATCTCTATTCACGATCAAAGAGAACCACACAGTTGGCTTATGATGGATTTTGGAGATGTACAGACCTCCAGAGGTCATGTCATTTACCTTTCTCCCTATTCGTAAAACAGTAAAGTTTCGAATAAAGAATGAAACCTCAAATATGGGAAGGTTCAACAAATTGTTTCACTCATTGAAAACAAGAACTCAAATCCTATCAACTTGACTACTAAACGGATAAATGTCGATCTGCATCTTACTTGCAGTGAGATAAGTCAAATCAAAGGCTAACTTGGACGTAAATTCTTTCACGAATGCCGAAGATTTTTTGCTCTAGTTGTATCCTTATATGACAGGAAATTATGGAAGGAGAATCCAGGGTTAGAATTGGAGGATATGAAGATTATGAGCAGACTGTTAGATCATTCAATCGACTTTCTGCAACTAATATTCTGCTACTAAAGGTATGACTCGCGTTTTAATAGACAATCAGAGAATCAGTTGATGCAGCAGATTCTATGTTTTGCGGCTACGTCTTGCAACCAAGGAAGGATATCGTTGGAGTGTAATCTAGGCTCCGTACAATGGCACCTGTGATAACGCAAACACCACCGAGTCGGGCATGCTTTTACACTAGATGTCGGTGGTGTTCTGCGGTGATTGTGATGAGCTACGTTATTACAGGCCTGTCATGATTACGCCAGGATGCGCGTATCCTGGCAGTCATATTAGAAGGTGTCTACTTCTTGAGATAGCAGGTATTTAGAATTTACATTGTTCTCTGGTGATTCATATATGTGTTTGTAGCGATAGGCGATTGATTCAAGTTGAGCATAGTGGGAACATAATTATTACTTCTTAACAGAATTACGAATCTCTTCCAATTAAACGAACAATGCTGCTCGTGTATGTTGCTTTTACCTCAAGTGTGGCTTGCAAAGTGAAGCCATGTAGGGTAAACAGAAAGTTTTGAGAAACTTGATATCTAACTTGTTCTCAATCGCTAATCGAGAAATAGATGATTGCCCTTTCCATTGCAGAAGCTTGTTCTACTGTTGGAGCCTCACGTTCCAATCCAGAAATTATTCATAAGCGTAAGTACTGCAAATAATCCCAGGAGCTGGGAATGCTTTGGACATGCACATAGTTATATGAAAGATTAATGTTTTACCTTCTCGTAATGATCTGCAAATTCCATCAACGAGGTGAATCGAAAGCACACCTTAATAACTTTATAAGCTTCTTGGTGTGCTGAATATTTCTAGAAAACCTCATGTAAAACTAAAGAAACGTTCAACTAAGAGAAAAAAGACGAAGACGGATCCAAATCAAGGCCTTGTCCAGCAGATTTAGACAGTCAATGTGATTTATAATTTTGATTTAAGAAAATTAATTTCGTCAATCTAAACTTGCGCAACCCATGTTTATTGAAACTTTGCTCGTCACAGTCGTCACTGACATAGAGCGCGTTTTTATAAAATGCAATACAAGAGAACATAGAAGATAATGAAACACGTGGTTGTGACTACTCATATTCTATGCTCACTAGATTCTAAACATCGCACTGTGTAATGGAAAAATCACAGTTGTCAATGAGTATGTTTCTGTTCAAGAATCTTCATACGATAACTAGACTATCTGCAACTCCTCGAAGGCAAATAAGCTCTCCTAGTGTACACTAAAAATAAATTCTGAAACTAATGGAACCAGTCTATCGCACATATAAAGGTCATCTTCGACCTGAAATTACGCGTGAGGAGGCCAACAACGATTTACTCTTTTCTAATTGCCCCCTACTTCCTATGTTGTCAAGAATAATTTTTGTAAAGTACACCTTGTATAAGGAGCACACAGGAGAATATCATATTAGAGAGTGTCACAAATGAGGAATCTATCGGCGTAAGAAGAAGATTAAGGGATGTTTCACGATGGTATTATTTTGGCACATTCAAACACTGGGCTATGGAGAATTGTTTCCTTACCTGTGCTTGAGAGCTAGAATCGTAAATAAGTCGGCGTAGATGTAGTTGAAATCTTTTAAGCACAATCGGCCTCCACATTCTACTATTAGGCAAAACCAAGCTTCTTCAGTTTGTCCGTTTCTGTTTATGCTTCATCATGTGGATTTTAATAGGGAAGAGGATCTTATAGGTCATGCACAACTTCGAGTTCTGTCAGTGCCGTTTACAGACATGCGAAGCAGGCAGTAGGATGATCTTGATTAAGACAAGTAGAGAGACAGTATAGAGAGTATAGAGAGTAGACCCTCCACCAGCAGTGAAGTCTGACACATTTCCTTACATCACAATATATGAAGCTAGAATTGGGTTCGTATCGCTGCAGCCAATCAAACAGGTATAGATTCACATCTTTGTTGATCGATCGTATATTTCTACTTCAATTTCTGTCATGTCATGTGAACCGAGAGTTGCACAGAAATTGAGAGGGAAGTAAGTCGTCACATCTTATTCTGGATATATACATCGTCTTACAGCGAAATAGACGTTCCCTTATTCTACATGACTCTAACAAACATGAGTTCTACAAGCATGCATATATATATTGCAGCTCAACGAGTCTAGATGCTAGTTAAGGGCTAACACCGAGAGTGAACTTGCCACAAGACATGGTCCCCTGAACTCGTCCTCTGGCACAGCAGCTGGCACGCATCTTCGACAGACAGGTCGCGATGTCTCCGCAGGAAATGCATCCGGTGCAGGGATTACTACACAGTTTCAGCGACGCCGTTTCCATTCGTAGCAGCGTACTGCAAGATTCGTTATTGCATTCTTTTTGGCAGCATTGGTTAAAACCCCTGAGTTTCATATAGGAGATGATGAGGTCCAGATGTCCTGCCAAGGGAGAGTCGAGGGCCGTCTCACAACTTTGTCCGTGCGAAGCAGGGAGGATTGCAACCAGGACCAACGGCAAGAAGAACACTGACGATGAGATGATCTGCTTCGACATGATCAAAGTCTAGCGGCAATCTTGTCTTCAGCTGTTCCTGTATGTACATCATAATTCAGATCATCAGTTCAGCTCAGCTCAGCTTCAGTTTGCAGCTTGAAAGGTGCGCAAGCGTCAGATGTCAAAGCTATCCTGTGATATCAAATTGAGGATAATTGAGCCACTACCTTACGAGCCAGAGTAACAATCCCCAATACAGATCACACCTGAGGCATGTGTTGCTCCCAGGACTTACTTACGTGCTGGAGAGTTGTGTGGAAAGTCAGATGACTTAGCTTCTTTAAATAGCTACACAAGTGACTACCCTCTACCCCAGAGAGTGAAGTGGTCGACTCGTCTTGGAGTGAGTGAGGTATCGTGGCTTCTGAATTTGAAGTGGTCAGATGGTATCCCAAATTGTGAAAAGTTTTAACCTCAGGTACACATACCAAATTCTTCCTTCGAAGATCTTTTTCATTTTCAGGTTTCAGACCGTACGCGATGACAGCCAAACCTGTAGTTTCTCCCGCTTCATGAGGCTGCCCATCGAGAAGGCGGCTCCTTAAAGGTGTACTTTTTTATCACATCATGTTATGGTAGGTTGCTTCGTCCATAATTTTACGTTGTACCTTGTCTTCAAATCGGTCTACAGTTATATGAGAAGTTCCGTAGCTCAGCATGACCGGTTTGAAGACAAGATAACGTAAAAAATTTTATTAATTAACAAACAATTTCTTGTTTTCATCGACATAGAAACATATAGTCCCACAACCAAGCTCAGTGAACGTGGAGCAAGTTTTCAATCTATTTTCGACCGCAAACTGCCAAATATCAATTGGTCACAAATGATTTCATGTCTTCTACCAATAACCCCATCCCTTCACACGAAACAATAACCTCTTACATACTTAAAGTTCACTACATAATCAGGAAACATTACATGGATATTACAATTATCCCGTTGTGTTGCTATTGGGTTTGGCCTCACGTTACACTTTCGGTTTCCTCCATGTCGTGATTGATTTGATCCATGTATTACTTCATGGGGTCTTTCCCCTTTTTGCTACATTTCTTGGTCTTTTGCAGTAAAATAGTATTGACACCGCAAAATAAGGTAAACGTGAACCTGAAAGGAGCTTACTCTTCAAAGCTTTGCATTTCCTTCTTGTTCAACTACTGTCATCAAAGTTCCTACTTCACAGGACCGACTGCAGTGACCGGATTTCTTCTGTCAATCTTAAACTACTGGCTCCAAATGTTGAAGCTACGATGCACGTCTGGAAATTTCCATTCCACTGAAGAATCAAATACGTGAAGACAACAGAAGCAATCAATCACCATGCAGCAAAAACAGACGGACTTGAAGAAATTGTGGCAGGGATGATCAACAACTGAACACGGAAGAGCAGTGGTTTCAATCGATTGTCAGTTTTTAGACTAGTTTCTCAGACCACTTTTACGGTAATTAGCTGCATTTATCTGAAGCTATTAACTTGTCAGAGGAGTGTTGGTTTTGCGAAATCGGTTTAGGCTGTGAGAGGATCGAAACCAATTTGGTCGTTCATCCATCATCTTCATTCATCTGAGAAGAATGAAGCCTATCAGAAACCTGTAAGTTTACCTCTGGGCGAGAGAACTGCCCTGGATCTGGATCGGTTCCAAGATCGGTTTCAGCTGACGATCTTCAGAAGTCAACTCTGCAACAATTCGACTCAAATCCAGATTACAAAGAGAAGCGGCAGAATGATTTTAAGAGGGCATAGCTCACCATGTCAAGAATTATTTTGCTCAGAGGGTGCATGAGCTGGATGCCGAAGGATCCTACGAGCAGTAGAGAGAGTAAGAAGAAGCTGCTTCTGATCAAGCACATAGGAAGTACATCCTACTGTCGACTGTGGAGGATCCACCAGCTAGACTTCATTTGTGTAAAGGTCTTGATCTCCATTAGGTTCATGCCATGTCTGTACCACATGCTTTATTTAACAACGGGCTCTGAACATCAGGCGCCATCGGTTCAGTGAGGTACTTCGTATACATTGCTATGGATGTTACTAGTAGCTTGATTTTCCCAGTTTTGTCGATATCCTCTCTTTGCTTCTTACTCCAGGGAGCTCTTGCAGAGTTCACGGCGTAATCATTTCATTCACATCAGTGCGCATTACGTTACTGCAACAATAAGAGCTAAAGTTTCTGGTCTGCAGTAAAAACCGACTGGTGAAGCTATTGACTGAAGTCACATGAGGTCATGCCATTGTTCTCTTCTTTGTACAGTTCTGTCCCATCATGTTAAATGTAAGGACTTGAACAGATATTTATTTCGGTCCCTTGATTTTTAAGACGAATTGTGCGTGATTATGTAATGACACAAACGTATGGGAGCATGGACTGAAAGTTTCACAAGAGGTTTAGTTTGGATTCATATTCCCTATTCTCTGGGTTTTAAAAGCTCGTCACTCTCCTCATGACATTCGTTTTTGCCACTCACAACAAAGCACAAAGAGCTTGACCAGTAACATGATAATTGCTCTAACAACTTTGTAAGTGATACAATACAAAGCTTTGTTAATGTCACAAGGTGGGAATCGATGGAAGCAAAATACAGGCTATATTTTGATCCACTTATAAATATTCATTCGGGACTTCTCCTCTGCTTCCAATTTTAGCACATACATGAATAAAAAATTAATTATTTTGTCGGAAAATGGTAAAATGTTATGTATTGGATATTTATACCACGATTTAAACCTTCAAAAATTAAAATCACCACTCTAAATTCCAATTCAAATTTTTTAATAATTTTTTCAACATGGATGATAAAATTGCTTGATAAAATTTAGTATAGAAAATTTCTGATTTGGTCTTTTTTCTTTCAACAACTGTGACAAGGGTTGTTTTCATTTTTGTAAAGTGGATTGTTGTTCCATGAACTTTCACTTATATTTATGTCATGAAGAGAACAGGACAATTAACCTAGCACCTTACATTGTCACCGAAGGAATTTTGGTTAATTGTGAGTGCATCTCCCAATTTAACTTGCAACTTTATTTCTCGTAAAATAGAAGTAATTAGATTAATTAATTAATTAAATTTGACGTTTGAACCGTAAAATTCAGAAGTAAATTGCAGAAATATGGTAACATTTAGTATCAAACATGTTTTCTAGATACGAAGTCTGATAAAAATAATAATAACAACCTTCTGATCCCATGTTACTGCAAACTAACTATTTCAAGTTGGAATCAGATTAGATATATTTTTTGATAATGTAGTTTATGGGAAAATAAAGTGTTATTCGATATGCATAACAACACTTGCATAATCACAAGTGTTATATAAATAATAATCAACTACAAAATATTTGTAATCCAGGTAACAAATTTGGATCAAATGATCAAATTATTATTATCAAATGGATCAAATCACACATATGCAACTATTCATGTTTGGTTTTTCTTTTGATGATTTTTTAAATCAAATAAATTTAAAGTATATTTATCATGAAACCCAAAAAATGGAAATATGAATCTAAAAATATAAGAATTTATTATATGCTTTTCAAATCGAATTAAAGGAAAGGAAAACACAATTTTCATAAATCACTTAAGAGAGATATCATAGCTCGAGATGGAGCTCGAGAAAAAAAATCATTTTCTAAGAACTTACTCCAACAGTGCAACACATCAGATATACAAGAGTAGTTGATGTTATAAAAAAATATACATAGATATTACTATGGTTCAGTGTAGACATCTGATCTGAATTTAGAACAATCAATGGAAAAAACTTATAATCCTATGTGAATATGATTTAAATTTTAAGTAATGTCTGTTTGATAATACTTCAACGCTTGGATTAAACTACTCTTATTTCTGATCAATATGAAAAAGCATGCATCGGGGAGATATATATATATATATATATATATAAGTGTACGTCTATGTATTGTAATATGATGATATTATTTATAATTCTGGATTTCAGTTTGTTGGGATGCGTTCAAACTTTGTTTTAGGATAAATTTTTTCATGTAAATATCACAAGCGAAATTCCTGCAATTTCAAGCCTAACATGACCTCCTTTATATTTTTGACAAAGTGAAATCTTCGTTATATACATGAGATTTATTGAAATTCATGATACTATTTATAACAATATGAAACAAACAATAATTCTCTATTTCATCTTGTGTCAAATTGTGTTTGAAGCAATGGTATTGCTTATATTTCTCAGCATTTATAAGATTATTATGGGGTAATTCTTCAAAGAAAAAAGCCAATTAAAAGGATGAATCGAGTATAATAACAATAGTGTCAATCTATAGCAATAATTTATAAACCGAAATTCATGAATCAGTAAGGGGTCGTGGCATACATCGGAATCCGACTCGCTTAGTTGCACAAACTTTTACAAACGGCCGTACTGCCAGGTGTCAGGGATCCCAGTTTCTTTCTCCTCTTTCTTTCTTTCTTCATCCTCCCTTCGGGCTGCCCCGGATCAGCCGGATTTTATCTCAGTTTTGGGAACGGGGAGGCGGGGCACTTTGTGGGGAGGGACTGGGGAGGGCACTTTGCGGCAACCATGTAGAGGCCGCAACGTTGTATCTAGTGCGTTGCAATGATCTACGCCGTAACAATGATCGCAGTCGTGTCATGGAACGTTGCGGGAAAAAGAACTAAAACTGAACTGCAAGAGGGATAGCTCAGATGGAATCCCTAATGTTCAGACTGTAATATTTGTAATGAAACGGTGATAACAAATTGAGGCGACGAATTTTTAAGCGGCAAAGATTAGGGTTTTTGAAAATAGAATCACATCAATATTCTCCAGCTCGTCGTTTCGACGTCGCTTTTGGGTGCCAGTGTCAGTGCTTTGAGGAGCTCGTGCCAGAGCTCGTGCTTGTACTTTTCTTGTCATTTCAGGTGCTTTTGCAGGTGTGGTGACAGCATGGAGGCAGGATGGATTGTGCAGGACCCACCTTATGAAGGCCCTTTCAATTCGTTAATGTTGAATTGGTCAAATGGGACGGCCTACATCAAAAGCTCGAGGCTTAACGATTTTGTTTCGGGAGAGGGATCTTGTTATAGTGATGCGAAGACAGAATTTGTGACACGTTGCTCATACAAGGGTGGAGGTACTAGGCACAATTGGGAATCGTATGCAATGTATTATTGCAAGTATGGTACTCCAGAAAGGGGCAAGAAGAGTATGTTTTCCTCGAATTTTATTCAAGATCCATCAACAAAGGCAAAATTTGGTCCTGGCAGCAGGGATAGACTAGATCATGATTCGCATCACAAGGGCTGTCAGTGCAGGTTTAGTGCCATTAAACTGCTGTCTAATGATCACAT